AATCGCTTCAGCTGCTTCCAAAGGGATCAGTGTGGTTTAAACCTCCCATCGCTCAGATCAACAGTGTGTTGAGGCCTGCAGGGCAGAATAGGGAATGAGCTGGGCCAATTTGCATTCTTAAGGCAAAAGCGTTGCTTGAAGACCTTCAAATCCTTAACTTGGCTCCACACAACATTCATGTCAGCAGCAGCTCTGACTTCAGGTTCTGTTTTTGAGCAGGGTCTCCACCAGCAAGACTCATTATTGCCTGTGACACCTCTCTGGGCAGTCTGAAGGTATTAGCGAAGGTCAGAAGAGCGGCCTTTAGTCAAAGTCCAATTCTAGGTTGTCCCATCTGCTGCCTAATAGGTGTTTTCTTGTGTTGGGTTTGGCACTTTCCATTATTTCTGTTCTCTTCTGATCCTTGGCTTGTTGCATAGCTCCCTTCTGAATTGTTGATGTTCTAGGGAGGCTTTTCCCATTTCGTTTTCTCTTATCTCTCCTTTCCTTTTTCAGCTGTAAGTTGTTTTTTTTCCCTGTTCCTTTCTCTTCAAAAACACATAGTCATCCTCTCCCATTTCTCAGGCCCTGATTATTGGATTTACGATATTTTTAGAGGGTGAACGGATGATTTTGAAGGCGGGCAGCAGGCCCGCCACACAGAGGTGGGACTTGAAGGAGAAGTTTCCTTCTGCCCCCACTTGTCTCGTGAGGGCAAAGACATGTTAGCAGTAGGTTTGGGGATGTTTTAGTTTTGTTGGTTTGATGCAGTTGAGGGTTATGTTCCTCTGCACCTGAATTCAGGAAGAATCTCACAGCTTTGGCTTCATTAAGCCTGCAGATCACATCTCTTGTTGGAATGAATGCACAAATGCCCAGCTCTGCTCAGGTATGGGGTGTTTTTGGGTTAATGTGGATGCTGTAAAGTGCTTAGCAGCGATGGGGAGGGAAGGTAGAGGAGGGACCACAGAGATTCAGCTCCTCCACAAGGCTTTAATAACAGCTACTGCTTTAACAAGATTTTCTCTCTCTGAATCACATCATTAGAGCCACCCAATACACCCCTATAAGGCACTTACTTGTCCGCTGTGATCAATTGCATCATCTAAACTTAACAAGACTGGAATATTCAAATAAATTTTGGAGGAATGATTTTGTGTGATGTTACAGCCTACGACTGTCAATTAGTGGTGGTTGCTTCTCCGCGGTGCTCCAACCTCTCAGGAGAGATTTGGAGCTGCCAATCATGTCATTCCTCCACAGAGGTGCCCAAATTGTTGTTGAGCCTTTCTAAATTCCAGCAAACCTCAAGTCTGGGGCATTGTTAGGACGGGCTCTACCTTAGGTTGGCGGTTTGAGTTTATATCCACCAACAGAGCCTTGACGGAGCCTTTCCAGCAGGACCACCGTGTCCTTTGGGTGGGCTGAGGAAACATCCTCATGTTGCTGCATTTTTAAAATAGTTTCAGATGTTGAGTCTTTGCAACGAGTGAGATCAGGTCTTGAGCAGAAAGCAGCTGGGTTTGGGGTTGTGGGTCTTGCTGTGGCGAAGCCGTGAATCCTTGGGCAGATATTGCCCATGGAGGTTGCTTTGTTTTGCAGCTCGCCCAGTTTCTTCATGCTTGTTGAACAAATTAGAGCAAGATGAGGCCACAGACCGCCTTTTTTCTCTCTCTCTTTAAAAAGAGGAGCATAATAGCAATTTCTTCCAAATAATCCAAGGAAAATCTGTCTGCTTTGGTAATTTCTGTCTGCTTTGGTAATGGCAGGTTTTAAATACAATCCCCAAGCTGGAATTCAGACTCCGTGACTCGTTATGTAGCTCAGGCAATGCAAGGACTTCCATGTGCTGTGGTGTCCCCACCTGTAGATGGCCTTCAGTGCACTCCCTTGGGGCACCTCAAGACCAGGGCTTGAGTTTTGCCCCGGGATGAAAGCTCCCACCAAGAAACAGCGGATGATGAGCAAGTGTGCTTGGATTTTCCTTATTCCCTGTGTAGTCAGGATGCAATATTAATCTCCTCGCTGAGCGTGGGTACTCACACACCTGAAGGGCTCTCCAGGGAGCAGAGCGTTCCCTTTTGTTCCAGTTCTGCAGAGCTCCCCGTTCTGAGCCGCTGCCTTGCAATGTTTTCTCAACGTCTGAAATCTCCATCTTTCTCACTAGAAATTACTATACATGAGAGCTCACCCTAAGTCATGGAGTGGCACAGTCCAAAGGAAGCACTGGGGTTAGGATAAGGATGGAAGCTGCATTTTCAAAGTCCTGGTAATTCAGCCCAAGGACCCCCACTGAGCCCTTGGTATCAGGCACCTCGGAAACCAATAGCGTGATGTGACTGCAGATCTTTTTGCACATGGAGGCCTTATTTGCGAAATCTCTCTCCTCTCCCTGTCCAAAATACATACTTACCTCTGTAACTGTGCCAAGCATAGGATTGGCTGATAAACAGTGTGGGAATCATAGGTCCAAGGATGCTATTTTAATGTGTTCCCAAGAAAAACGTCAAGATTGCATGCTCTGCTGTCACTTACTTCCTTACCTTTAAATGCTTACCCCAGCAAATTTAGAGACAGAAATGCACCTAGTGAATGCTCCCTGCAGCAGGGATCCAGAACAAGAGCAAAATTTGCTTCGGGGAAGCTATTGCCAACAGCAAGTTTGCAATGCAAATCCTGGGATCGTCCGAGTTACTTTCGGAAGCAAGAGTTGCTCGCTGCAGTTTTTCTCTGTTATGGATTGCAGCTTGCACGGAGCAGGGAAATAGGGTTTCCTCAGACCAAGATGTCTGGTAAAGGAAGCAAGCAGAGTGATTTGCTTGCACCTGTGATTCAAATTTGTGTTGCTCTTTTAGGGTGAACGGCAGAATCTCAGGCATCCCAACAGTAGGTTAGGGTAGAGCATCATAGAGAGGACCTCATTTGGGTTTCCTCCCAGGTGTGAAAATGGAAAATGCACCCTGCTTTGCTTTAGACTTGCTTTCTACATTATAGACTGCTAATGTAACGATTCCTCAAGTGGAAGGCTGCAGAGAACTGCTTATTTTCCTGCATTTTGTATGGATAAGTCCCATGCAAGGAGGTAGAACGCAACACTTCCTTTCCTACTCTCCCGTCAGACCAATGGATGCAGCTGCCCATAACCTAAATCAAGAGAGGTGGTTCATTTGTGGAAAAAAAACATATCCTTGAGATGTCTTCTGCTCCCCAGGAACCACGAAGGGTCCTGGTGTGTCTGTTCCATGATGGAGCTGAAGGGAGGTGTTTCCTGCCTGCTGTGGAAATCGAAGACGGGTTTTATGTAAATAGATGGTCTTGCATTTCCAAGCAAAGAGTGCTCAAACCTCTAATACGAGCTTGGGCCACCTAGTTTAATGTATTTGGCTTCAAAATCCTATTGGGGTTTCAGGTGAGCCCTAGCTCAGGGACAGTATCAGGAAAAACCTGGGCAGATTTGAATAACTCTTGCACTCCAAGCAAGCAACTTTATGGTTTTACCCGAATCTCATGGAAATACCCATTTGGGAAAGGTTTGAAGAGCTTTCCAGAAGTGCAGAAAAGATTTTATTATTTCAGATAGCCAGAATGGGTCGGAATTAAGCTCACCCTGTGGAGGAGAGGAGCAGCTAAATCTTTTCCTTTAGGACGAAGACATTCTTGTGACTCAGTCCTCCAGTGCAGCCAATAGAGAAGGTTTCCTCCAAAACCACAATGCCAGGGATACAGCCCCGAGGCAACATATTTTTCATTGTCAAGCAGAAGAAAATTCTCAAAGCGATTTTTTTAATGAAGGTTATTTTTATTTTATGCTCCTAATGAATTCGGTCGAGCAATTTTAAGCCATTTCAGCGTTGTTGTTTTCGTTCTCAAGTGACAGTGAAGTCCCACAAATCTAGTGAGACGCTGGCAATAAAACTACTTAGCGAGTATATAAAATGCCACTGCTGGAGTTATTTTGCTGCAGCTCGTTGCAGCTATTATGCTCAGCAGCATGATTCCTCATTGTAACTTCATAAAAGATCTAATGACGGGAAGTTGAGGTTTGCAAAGTTGAATGAAAGTGGAATGCAAATTTGTCACCAAAAGAGCAACTAATGATTGGAACCCTGTACAGAGGCCCATGGTAAATGTGGCGGCTCTTGGAGTCTTTCAATGAACTATTTCATCCAGAAGCTGTTGGAATTAGATGGAGGGAGCATTGCCCGATGTTCTCCATGCTACACAAAAAGTCCTACCAGGGGAGAGCTGCTCCCGCAGTTCGTTTCTTAACCTGCACAAGAGGCAAAAAATGCCATGAAAATCCACCCAGGGCTTTTCCATAGCAGCTCTTCACAGAAGTGAGTTTTGGAAGCTGACTCTGAATGCAAACACTGGAGCGTGGCATCGGATTGAGCATTTACAGACTTTGCAGGGAGGGTTTTTTCAGATTTTATGTGCAAATCGTCATGTGATATAAAAACATTCATCTTGGTCATCCCTTTTCACCAGGTGCTGCATCCATACCGATAAAATAATGCACAGAGTAATACTCAGAACCATTTTTTTGTTGTCCTTTTGTCCTTTTAAGCCATCAGTTTTCGTAGGAATGTATATTCTTACGGAGTGTATATGAACAAGATTGATTAAGGGGTTGGACGGACTGGCTTGCAAGGGAAGATTACAAGACCTGCATATGCAATGCGTTATTTATATATATACCACACAGACCTGGAAAGCATCTGCAGGGCTCTGCAAGGTGTAAACGCCCGCGGGAAGGGGCGTTGCAGTTGCTTGGGCTGCAATTTGCAACTACAGGGAGTAAAATTAAATTGAGATTTTGTAAGTGAGAGGTGTTGCGAGTAGCAGCATTTTGTATTCTTTGTAATGAGGCGTTTTGGAAACTCCAGCAGGCAAATTTGTGCAGACCACTCACGGGGATAGTTCAGTACTGGCCAGTCTCGTGTTGCTGGGGATGGGGCCTCTCTCTTGCCCCATTGACCCTGTGCTCCACTCACGTTGGGTTGTTTTGCTTTGTGTTTCAGGGCTGCTTTCGGCAAAGAGTCGGAGGTTCTTATTGGAAACCTGGGGGATAAATTGATCCCTCAGCAGGAGATCCTGCGCGACGTCAGCGACCTCAAGGCCTTGGCCAACATGCACGAGAGCCTGGAGTGGTTGGCTGGACGCACAAAGGCGGCCTTCTCCAGCCTCTCAGCCACCCAGGGTAAGTAGCAACCATGGACTAAGGCCAACTCTGGGACAAAACCTAGAGGATTATACTGTAGTGGTGGGAAGGGGACCTCCTCTTGTACTTGGTTTCAAAGAGATTTTCCATCTGTTGATAACGTTGGGTTCTACCAGTTTTCAGGTCACCCACAGCATCTCTCCTAAGCACATTCAGTCCTTCAGGAGCACCTAACACAAAGCAGCTCAACCCCCTTCATCCTGGTGAACGCTCTGGTGGGACATCAGTTCTGGTTGCATGGTGGGTGAGGATGCCAGGAACATCACTCCCCTGAGCTGTTTTCATAGCACAAAAGGCTTTTCCAGTAACATGCACCACGATGGCAACGCTCTTGTGTGGACATTGCTGGGGTCCTTGGCACAATTAATGGCAGTAGGTTGTGTTGGAAAGATGCAGCATTGGCCAGAAGATGACATCTTTAACCAAAGATGACCAAAACCACCTCTATCCTTCGCTATAGTAACTACACTATGGTCCATGGGATGCTGCTAAAAGTGTGCTTATCATCCCAGGAGCTGAAAATCGTTGGTTCATCCACCTTTGATCCCTGCACCACTTGCTCAGAATAGCAGGCTCAACAGCTTTTTCTTCTCCTTAAAAAGAATTCAGGGATATGCAGCCGGTCAGTTCACAGAACGGGCAGTCTTCCGAGGCATCTCTTTTTAAAACAAGCTTTTACGTAACAGATAGGCTGCAAAATGCCAGGTCCTTTTATTCTGATGGTTTAGAGGAAGAGTTTTGGATAAAGCAGGAACCAAATGCAACAGAGCTCCAAACAGCACACGCTGAACAGTGTGACAACTCTTAATCCGTGTCCCTTAGCACTTCTGCTGTTCCTAACTCCTGGGGATTTTATTCTGGCACATCTGGCGCTGGGCTGAGCTTTATGTAGGGCCACAGGGTTTGGGTCTCGCCTGCCTGCTGTGACGTTCCCAAAGCTGCGACCTGCCAGACGCTGGCCCTAAGGACATAGCCATAAATTTGTCCCTACACTTTGCATTGCCCTAGGTCCCTCTAGTGTCACGTAGTGCATTTTACAAGCACGGAGCATCCTCTTTTTTCCTGTGCAGGCAATATGGATTATATTAAATGCAGCTGCCCCGGGCGTGGAAGGAAGCATCTGTTTAATTGTAGCACGGTGCTGTAGATGAGGAGTAGAGAAGAAAAGCTTAACAGAGAAAATAGACCGTGTTCAGCTTGGTAGGATACCTTGGTAGAAGGGGGCATGCTGAGGACTTCATTTTGGCCATTTCTAGCTGGGCTGGCACCCAAAAGCACATTGCAGTGGAGAATTCGGCATTGAAAATCACCTCACTCTTATTTTCCAAGAAGGTGATGGGGACGTTTGCTGGTATTAAACAGTATGGTTGTCGCTTTATATCTCAGCTTAAGCAAACGTAAGGCAAATGCTCTTAAAACTCAATAGTCAACTACTTATTCCCAGAACTTTATTTTAGTTTCAAGGAAACTACTTTTGGATGAAGAATTACACTTTGTCACAGTTGTCAGAATCAGAAGCATCTTTCATAATTTCAGTTCTGTCTGGACCTCGGAACTTTTAAGCAAATCAATATTTTCCAAATATAAAAGGGCACACGCTTGGCTTCCAAGCCTCTGAGAGGATGCTACATGCAGCCGTGAATACACATAAAAGTAGGAAGTGTAATATTTTACTTGGCAGCATCCTGCTGACAATAAAAATCCGTCTTCCTTGGTAATAGCTTTATATAGATGCACTCAAATGGCTGTATACAAATGCCAGGAGTGTCGGAAACAAGAGGAGGAAGCCTCAGTCTTAGGAACTGATAGTGGCTGTTGAGCTCGTGGTTATAAATGAAACCTGGTGGGATCTTCCTCATAAATGGAACATCAATAGAGCTGACCACGGTCTATGTGGAAGAGAGAAAAAGTAGTGCCAAGAGGCAGAGGTGGTGGTGTAAAAGTCAAAAGTATTTACAAATCTAGCAATGATATATGGAGGAGCACAGTTCTTTGGGGGAGAGAATACAAAGAAGGAAGAACAGAGGGAAAATGAGATGAGATGTGTGTGTGCTTCCCACCTGGATGAGGAGGAGAAGAGCAACACAAATGTGCTTGGGCTGTGCTGGGAGGAGAAGGGAGTTAAAACCACCGAGTTTTGTTTCGGAGTCATGCAATGTTAATGTGGGCTGCTCAGGGCTCCTCTTTGCTGGTTTCATCACCACGTTTCTGAGCATCAGATCGCTGCCAGCCCCAGCATGTTAATGAGAATCAGGGCAAGGGAGGGGGGAAAACTGGGCAAAAGTAAAGCTGAATAAAGGATTTCCTTTTTTTGCTGCCCTACACTGCAGCTCCTCAAACTCAGACTCAGGTTGTCCTAAGTGGCTTCCTCGGCTCTCAGCCCTTCAAAAGTTGCTTGACCTCCTACGTCATTCTTCAGTTCCAGCATGGCTTTTTAAGACATGCAGGTGTGAAACCAAAGATGAGCCCAACCAGATTGCTTGGTTCTTTGTATGCAAGCGGGAGGCTGTTATTGCCCCCACTCGCTGTTGGGAGCTGACTTGAGTTGTTGGGCAACTGTTGCCTTCCCTTGAGCAACTCGATCATCTTCTGCTTTATTCTGTGTTACTCTTTGGAATAAATTCTACATTTTGGTGGCTATGCTTGAACAAGAGCAGTAATCCCATTAGCTGGTAATAATCCCATTAACTGGCAGAGTTTTATTATCCATGTACATGGTGTGTTGGGCCAATGCATGATGAGGAAAAGAAAGAAGTAGGGAACCAACTTGAGTTGAGCCACCAACTCAACTGAACTCAACTGACTGGTGCTCCCTGTTATGATGATGACTCAATGTGCATCTTCACTGCCTCTCTCCTCAGTTGTGGTATTTGCTGTCCTGCGCACTGTGTCTCATCTCCTAACTGAAGTGTGTTTTCCCAACATTTGGGGAGTTTTACTCCCTTCTAATAGGCGAACGAGTGGCAAATAGAAAGCACATACTCATTTTTTGGACCTTCATTTTCCACAGACTCATTTCTATCTCAGAACCATTAAATTAAACCTTGGCCTCACTCACTTGGGACCAGAATTATTGTTGCTTTGCCAGAAATACCATATCTCCACCATGTTCATGCTGCAGGGGTTTTAGCCCCATTGTCCATCCTTGGAGAAAGTCTACTGCGTTTTCCTTGACTGTAAATGGGCAACTTATGGATGTAGCTAAAATGTTAGGACATAGAGGGGCAGGGTTGGAGACGTATTAGATGTCTTTTGAGAAACCTGCTAAGAAAGGGGGGCTCTACTTGTTGGTTTTGTGGTTAGGCTGCCAAAAGGCCCCCTTACTCCAGATAAAAATTCAATAACCTCTCACTGTGGATGTGCCACAATTATCACCCATTTAAAAACAGCCTTGCTAATAGAGTGTTTTATCATGCTGGGCAGTCTCAGCATTCTTCATTATTTAGTGTTTGCTAAGCTGATGGCTCTTCCCTAGCTCTCCCCTTATCTGCATTCCCTCAGAATTGGATTTTGTATTTTCCGAAGCAGTCAGATATGACAAAGTCATTTGCTTCTTCTCTTGTCTTTTGAGGGAATACAAACTTTTTTTTTTTAACAATAACCATTTTGGGATTAAAGTTGCAGGAAGTGGATGATTTAGCCAGGGAAGTCAAGAAAATTGTTAATAGACTATATATCAAAACGGGAGTGAGCTTTCCTCTCCTCTTTTTCTGCTGCTCCACTGCTGTGCTGTACACAGATGTGTTGCACACACATGTTTTTCCCCGACCTGATCTTCAACCATCTGAAACTCTCTGAATATCTAAATATATATAAAAAATATATATATAAATATATATATATATATTATTATGGATGATGAAGGAGCTGGGGCAAGCTTTATATTTTTAAAATGGTTGCATTCTAGGGGTAGGTAGAAAGATGAAGGAGGAGCCATTAGCACAGCGAGCTGTGGGTGCCCTTTTGAAGCCCCTTTGGCATCTTCTTGACTTTGGATTGCAGCAAGCACCCAGCTGAATGAAGCACTATGTTTAAAACACAGAGACAGGCTTGTCTTTATCTTCTAGGTGACTTTTTGGAAGCCAGATATCACAGCATCCCAGGATGGTTGAGGTTGGAAGGGACCCCCAGGGCTCCCCCAGCGCAGCCCCTGCTCCCGCAGGGACACCCAGAGCACGGGGCACCCGGGCGCATCCCGGCGCGCTGGCAGATCCGCAGAGCAGGAGCCTCCGCAGCCTCCCTGGGCAGCCTGGGCCAGGGCTCGGGCACCCTCCCACCAAACAAGCTCTTCCTCACGGCCACATGGAGCTGCCTGGGCTTTAAGTTCTACCCATATTGTATTTACATTTGTAGTATTTACAGGTATTTACATTTGCACAGTGCGTCCATGCATGTCTGTTGATAAGCAGAAGTCCTTGTGTCTGTCCAAGCTTTGCCAAGTCCATTATCCTCACTTTCAGCTTCTCATCTTTGATGAGGAATTTTGGGGCAACCAAATCAAACTGAAGACTCGCTGATTGTCCTCTTAACGTTCAGCTTAGTTTGCTCATGATTTACCACCCCAGATCCTCCCTATCCTCCCTAATGTCCCAGTTGTCACCACAAGAAGCCAAAACCCTTTAAAATGGCAAGACTGAACATCTTCTACATGAGCCTGACTTCAGGTAGGCTTCAGGTTCCTCCCATGCCTGCAGTGGCTGAAAGTTGAACTCTGGATATTTGAAATGCAGCAGTTCTCCCATAGCACTAATACTTCCCAGTGACGGCTTGGAGGGTAATGCAGCAGTTTCCACATTTGCAGCCTTCATCTCACATGGGTTTCTGAACCTGACAGGTTTATTTGCAGAAATACTTAGAAGTGAAATCATGAGGACACCGGCAATAAAGCTGAGGAATTGCTGGTTTCGACCATGGATGCTGAATAGGGTAGAAAGAACATGGCAGTGCCCTGAGAGCTGAGGACAATTAGGATTGCTATC